TCTCTCACGGCGCTTAAAAGCATTAAAGCTCTTCTATCCACCATTACAGAGTCCTTTACCTATCAAGTAGGTATATGGCGAGACCAGCACAACCTCAATATACTACACTATGCTATTATCAACAACAAACCGGAGATCATTAACTATTTGCTTGCAGATACTTCATTTTTCCCCAAATCACACATGCCATTTCAGAATCCTTACGGGCACTTGGCTGCTTTGCTGGGACACAAGGAATGTTTGCGCGTTATTTTACAGTACAGACCTGGAGATTTCTTCAAAATCACACAATCGTCACAGTTTCTAAAGCTTCCTGAAGAGTACTACAAGCGGTTAAAGATCAAAGAGTCAGTGAAGAACAATTTTTTAGACAAAATAAAATCATATTCAGAAAGTAACGAGGAGACAAAATTAGCACGGAACGATGTCGAGACTTTAATGGCTATGATAGAAGAAGAGAAACATGACAAAAAATACAAACATTCATTAACTAAGAAATTTCGTGCAGTGAGAGAAAAAAAAACTCCCATTATTGATACCCCTAGCTCCAGCGCGCCAATAAGCAAATATCGAAAATCGATCACAAAAAGTATTCCCAAAACAGGTGAACGGAAGTTAAGCACAGCCTTGATCGCCCCAGCCAATCAGGACGAGTCAAAGTCAATGTTCCAGATTGAACGTATACAATCACAGCCAAAACTCAAACTGGAAAGTCGCACTCATACTGCACTAGAACTCAAAGATAGTACGAAAGTGAACAGCCACTTGATCACCATATACCGCAATCTTTTTACAGAGGATGGCCCAGGAATCCTTAATGGTGCTGGAATGCCTGCTACGGTCAACTTTGTGGACACACCTAAAGCAATGCGAGCGCAAGATTTTAATTCTCAAAGCATGTTTCGGAATAATACGTTTAGCGAACAAAAGACTGTGGAGTCAGCATACAGGCATAAATGGGACAGCCCATCAACAAAGAAGGATTCCATGGATCACATGAGAAGCAGTAAGAAGCTCAGTTTTACTAAACCTTCTAACTCTAATTTAGGCGAACCCTCCAAGGCTTGGGTAAAAAATGAAAGAATAGATATTGGCGTCAGAGGTAAGAAAAAATATAAAGAGTTTCGAATTAAGATTGATCATCGTGAAGTCAAAGAGAAAGATGACGCTTATCGTTCCATGAACAAAACTCCATTGACGATCGCTGCCGAGCGCGGTCACTTAGAATGTGTTCAGTTTCTACTGGATCAAGTCATTCTGAAATCGAACCCAATGATAGCCACGAAGGAGCCACTAACTCTAGCGACCAAAGCCCGTAGTCCAGAAGCTATAATACTTCTGGTTCAAAAGAAAATGTCGCGATGGGACTATCAGAGCGCTGTCCTGGTGGCAATACGCGAGCTGTATCCGGACTGTCTGACAGCACTGCTGACCATCAGCGGCAAGGAAAGAGCAACATTGTTTGATGGAGTCAATCTTTTCCACGTCTTGTACTCTCAGAGCCTTCTGTCCAACTATAGATACGAGTTAATGCCGGAGATGACTCGCGTGCTACTGAGCTGCAAGGAAAATGTGAACGCTCACAACATACCCAGGACGTTCCCCATGTACACTCTCATCAGCTGTGCATTTAATATTTCCCAAATGAAGCAGATCTATTACTACCTCGAATGTCTTACCATTCTCCTCGAAGCTAAAGCCAATCCACATTACAGCGAAGAGAGGGCAGAAAAAGATTTCGCCAAGAATTCGGGCCTGTCATTTACCCGCAAGTCCTTCTCTTCCGCTATCACCTGCATTTTAGAGAGCGCCAAGGGCTCTCTCGACTACTTTGAAAAACCTTATTTCTCCAAGATGTTTGTGAAGAAGTTTATCACCACTATAGAGACATTTGATAAAACAAAGAGGATGATATTGTATGATGTTCTGTTTGACTACGTGAAGTACAGCAACATATTCGGCTTAGACAAAAGTATTATCAAATCACTTATGAGATATGGCGCGAATCCAGACTCCAAACGAGCGGGAAAATACGCAGTGAATGCTTACTTTGATATCATCCTTCCCTATTTGACTAAGTTTGAAGTGATCAACTCATACGACCACTATCAAAAAGAACTGGTCGATGTGATGTACATTTGCCGCTACATGTCTCCCAAATGTCTGAACGAAGCACTCAAAGTGTTTCTAGAAGAGCATTTGCTCGTGTCCCCTATTCAAGCATTGCCTGTCTGTCGTTATTTCTCGTATCTCATCAACGAAATGGTCCGTTCGCCCCGCAGTCTGCTAGAGATGACATCACAACAGATATGGTTGTGTGTAGGCCGTAACAAAATAAGGGCTAAAAGTCTGTCACTCTCTGACGAACTATTGACAATTATAATTCCATAAAATCTGTAGTACAATACATTAGCTGCTGTTTTATCTTCCTGCCATTACAACTAGTAGTTATTCTAAGTGAAGATACTTTCACAGTTTGTGTCTTACACTGAACATCTCATATTAAAGATAAATTATTATGAATGGCTATATTATTTAGACTGTGGTAGTTTATGTATGTTTCTAAACAATTGAAAAAATACAATTATTTAGCCAATGTGTATGAAGTTTTCAATGTTAGATAACAAAGTTGCAACTTGTCACACGAACTTATTTACCCGTGAACATCTGTAGTCTCTATGTAGAAAGTGAATGGATGAAATTTGACTAAAAAAAAAAAAAGCACTGAATCTGAATTTTAGTTAAAATTCTAATTGATAATTCTTATTTGATTGTAACCAGTGCAGGACATCTGAGCTCGACCTAGATTTGAGTGAGGCTTGTATTGAGGCTATTTGTGTGAGGCTTATAAAGAAGATAATTATTCGAGTATTCTTATGTTCAAACGATTGAAGAGTCAGATTCTTGCTCACGAGAGGAATTTTATCAGACTAACTTTGTAGTTACACCATTTCACATTTTTTCAGTTATTAACTTTGGGAGTGACAATAAAAAAAGATAAAGTTCAATACTGTTTCCGTTCACATAGCAGAAGTGGCCAACCTTTGTTTCCCATGCATCAGTTTTTCGCCACTTCTAATTCAGAGGTGCCACATAAACTTTTACTCCTTGAAAGTAGGAGTGTGTGGATTTGGTTGTTGGTATCACATAATGAAATCAAATCTTGCAAAGAACTTAACATTATATAAATCTAAATGCCATAACAACTCACTACCAATACTTTTATGTTGTTTCTTGAATTTCTTTCATCTTTACTGACATGCAGGAATGAAAAAACATACTTGAAAACTATTTGGCTTAAATATTTATATTTATTGGGAAAAAATTAAAGCAACTGATCATTTGTGCTGTAAATATGCTGTAAGTCATAGAACCAGATTATATCATCTGTTCTATGGATCACTACTTGACTTAAAATCACATTTAAAGTAAATAATGAATCTATAATCAAAATGTAAAAAAAAAAAAGATTTGTGACAATAAAAATAATTTGAAAATAATCACAAATAATTCTGTTGCTTATGAATCAACCAACAATTTGAACACAATCCAAATAATTCAACATATTAAAGGGTTAAATGCAATGGTTAAACAAAGAAATGACTTTGTGAGTCTATGTGAGGGTAAGCTCAATATTTCATGTATGTAATGCACTGTGTTTATCCTCTCTGCTAAACCCTTTGACAAAACACACAAAAATAGACTTCCTGGTTATTGAGATAAAATTAAACAATGTGTACACACAAATAAAACCGTACACTAGGAGTTCAAGTACAAAGTGTACAACAAACTTGTTTAAATGTTAAAGTTCTAGCCATTCTGGAATCAAGTACTTTGGTGTCAGAATCAAGGTTCTATTGAAACAAATTAATACTGAGATTGATTTTAAGTAAAATAGACTAGTAACAGTTTATTATTATTAATATATACAATATATAACATTAGTAAAAGATATATTTTTTTGGCTTACACATAATAAAAGGTTTCATAAAACAATGTGAACATTTATCAATTATCACCAATAAAAGTCAAAGGTATATGTTATAGAATTTATTATAATACTGTTGATAAAAAAATATTTTGGCTTTAATGGCATATTACTGGCAGAGTAAAATAATATAACAAATTTGTTTTTTCACAAGATTTTAAATTTCTTTTGGCAAAATTCTGTCCCACATTAAATTACAACATATTTTTTAGGTCTACAAAAAATAAGGACCAACCCCAAAATTGTTTTTTTATTTACTAGTAAGCACACACTGGGTCTGGTAAAGTTTTGAGAAAAAAAAAAAGTTAAGAAAGGTTTTTAACTCTACAAATAATAGTAAACTCAAGTTATTATAATACTGTTCATATAAAATATTCTCATCAGATATCTTCAATGGCAGTGGCTCTAATGGCATATCTTAGACACTAAAAAAATGTTCAGTAAAAACAATTTAATGATTGTCTTGACATGAAAGGCACTTTCCCTTAGGAATTCTTCTCAGTAACTTTCACAAAGACCTGAAAACAAAAATTCCAAACTGAAGCTAAACCAAATTTGTAAAGGAAGATAAAATTATGTATTTAAAGCTATGCACTGAATCAATGTCTAACAGGTGAAAATGCTACACAAATCATTAAATTAAGTTTTCTAAAAAACTTAGTTGATAAAACTTACTGATTTCACTTCAACATAGTTCTGCAGACCATAGTCACCCCTGTAGATAAATGTATACATAAAAATTGATAGCCAAAGGCAATGGACTCGTAGATAAAACACTAAATTTGATGTCTGAAACTAAATACAATAAATTACAGAAAAGTATTAAGAAAACCCTTACAATTCTCTCCCAAGGCCAGACTTTTTGAAGCCTCCAAATGGAACTTGAGGAGCCACATGGTTATAAGAATTGATCCTGTTAAGAAAATATCATCGGGTAAAATTGTTTTTCTGATAATACTCAGAGGTAGGTATGGTAATAACATTTCATCGGGTAAAATTGTTTTTCTGATAATACTCAGAGGTAGGTATGGTAATATCATTTCATCGGGTAAAATTGTTTTTTTGATAATACTCAGAGGTAGATATGGTAATAACATTTCATCGGGTAAAATTGTTTTTCTGATAGTACTCAGAGGTAGGTATGGTAATAACATTTCATCTGGTAAAATTGTTTTTCTGATAATACTTAGAGGTAGGTATGGTAATAATATTTCATTTAGTAAAATTGTTTTTCTGATAAAACTCAGAGGTTCGGTAATAACATTTTTACTTGAAAATACATAGCATAAAGAAAAATTATAATATTGAGAAGTACATTTTCATTGATTCATCTGTTGATTGTGTATGGTAACTAAACTAAATATATGTGGTGCATTTGTGAAAAACATTTTTAAATGTTGATTTACACTAAAAGATAAAATTTCTTTTTTAATTAGGAAAAACTGTATAAGCAATCTACCCATAGTTATCAAATCTATACTTCTAAAAATGAAAATTAAAATATCTATACAAAAATTGGTTGCTGAAATTTTAATAATTACAATCTCATTTTCAAGTGCCTCCCTTTCAACCTCAATAACCATTTTATATTTAAAAAAAAAAAAAAAGAATGAAACACAATACAAACCAAACAGTTCCAGCTTGCACACTATGAGCCAATGTTAAAGCCTTGTTGATATCCTTAGTAAAAACTGCCGCACCTAGACCATAGGTAGTATTGTTACAACGTCTGATCACTTCATCCATATCTTTAAATTTCAAAATTTGTTGCACTGGTCCAAATATCTATTGGGGGGGGGGGGGGGGGGGGGGGGGGGGGGGGGGGGGGGGAAGGTTGATTTGTTAAATTTAATGCAATGTTAAAAACATCCAACAGAATTTTATGAAAAGTGACAAAGCAAAGAATTCAGTATAAAAGTTGATACCTCTTCTTTGGCAATTCTCATTTCATCAGTGACATTAGAAAAGACAGTTGGTGTGACATAAAAGCCTTGATCCCCATGTCTTTCACCACCAAATTCAACTGTTGCACCTTCTTTTTTACCACTTTCAATCAAATCTAGAATTTTATTCAGCTGTTCTGCATCAATCTGAAAAGAAAAACATTCATTTGCTAGATTTTGCTTTTATGAACAATAGCATAAAGGTCAACTGTGTACATATTTTTATCATAATAAATGAATGCCTCAACAAAGATTACTGAAGAGAGCTCACAAAGTCAAAGATCTAATTGTTAACTAGATTCTGACAATTTTAAAATCAAGCAATTGATTCTGACAAATTTAAAAAACAAGCAATTATGCCAAAACTTACAAATTCAAATATATAGCAACTTAATGAGACAAATATTTTATATAAAAATATTTTCATATCACTAAAAAAAAATATACAAAGGACATCAAAAACATCTGCAATGTTTGTTGAACAATCAAAAAAAAAAAAAAAAAAGTAGCAAACTCATGACAGTTTGAAATATTTCTAAAGCTAATTAAACATCATATGACCAATATGAATTTGTTTTTTTGAGTGACATACCTGTGGTCCATTCACAGTAGTTGGTTCAAAGGGATCACCAATAGTTCTGGCTTTAGCCAGCTCTTTGCTTTTAGACACAAACTCATCATAGATACTTTCATGGACAAATGTCCTTGTGCCAGCAACGCAGCACTGACCCATATTAGTCATACAAGCTTCTTGAGCTTCCTTGACTGCTTCATCCACTGTTTAGAAAAAATCAATCAATCAATCAATCAATCAACCTACAAGACAAACAAATCTTCTATCCTTTCAATTGTGAACCCATTACCATCCACATCATCAAAGATAACACAAGGACTCTTTCCCCCTAATTCAAGAGTTGTTCTTTTAATATTGGAGGATCCAGCAGCTTGAAGAATTATTTGACCAATCTGTAGACAATGAAATGTAAAACAATAACTACAAGAACAACAACAAAACCCCAACTAAAACAGGATATTGTGCAGTAAAATTCTTCATGCTCTATTTTTCACTGATTTATATTGCGCTTGTTTCTGTCATTCAATGTAAAATCTAGACAATCTGAGTATTACACTTATTACATATTTTGTTTTATTTAGCATTTTTTAAAATGAGGCATGTTCAGTAAATATTCAAGTAATATCAAATGTACCTAGAACATTGATTGCTAGTTATTAAATCATGTATTTTTAATTTAACTCTTTCAGTGCGGCGTTACTCTCAGCGAGTAAATGATGAAAAACTCATTTTTTTTTCTATCAAAATAATTCACACTAAAAGAGTTAAACAGTAATCATCTATGTACAAAGCCACAAAGGGAACATTTTAATCATCACCTCAGTTGATCCAGTAAAAGCCACTTTATTGATATCAGGATGATTAGATATAGCTGCTCCAGCTGTAGGACCATAGCCTGGGACAATATTAACTACACCAGGAGGGAATCCAGCCTGGTAGATAGAAAGAAATATTTAGAATGGAAATTTAGAATCTCTGTTGCATTTTACAGCAAAAATTAGGTCAGATAAAAAAAAAGAGAAACAGATGTAAGTAAATTAAGTAAATTTAAGAGATTTTTTTTAAAGATGTCAAAAAGGTCAAATTTAGTTTTTATAAGGAAATAAGTATACTTTATTTTGTCAGAAGGACTAAAATATTCCTCTTATTGCAAGGCTCAATGAGGTGTAAAAAGCTTGCTAACCAATTAGCTGAATGGCATGGATCTAGTCTAAGTAAATGAGGGATATAGGAAATTAACCTTTCTAGTAAAGTAGAGTAAAATTTAAAAAAAGTAACAGTAAGACTCTGGCCATTTAATGTTGCAATATTTTTACTGGTTTAACAAACAGTATTTTTAACTATTAAATAACAATATTTTAGTTGTTTCAACAAGTCCTGACAACTTTAATGTATCTAGAACTTTACCTCTTTAATGAGTGATGCCAGGTACAATGCTGTCAGTGGTGTCTGTTCAGCTGGTTTTAAAACCACAACATTGCCAGCAGCTACAGCAGGTGCAATTTTCCAAGCAGCCATAACTAAAGGATAGTTCCACTACAAAAAGATATTGATTTAACAAAATTGATAATTAAAGTTTAACAAAATAAGATAATTAGTGGGGTGGCTCCACTACGCTATAAATAAATACTTATACCAAAATTTACACTCTATGAGTAGTTCCACTATAAAAGTTACAGTCAAAAATTATTTTTTTTCTTTCTATTTAATAAGTTTTCATAGCATGTAGACTTTTATACACAAATAAATTTAGCAAGGTTACCACCAATATGTAGATCTAGTTTCAATTTTTTTTACAAGCCTGCTATTGTAATGTATGCCTGAAAACCACCCATATTTATTACATTTAAGCACAAACTACACATTATTCCAGTAACTGTTTGAGACTTTTGAGGTTGAATCAAATTTAGATCTAGATACATTTTGAGGGTGACTCCCCTTTCCAAGCTTACTTTCATTCGCCTGACCTTGTACAGGCTTAGATCTCTCTTCATCTCTCTCTATATATAATTAGAGTTTCACAACTGATTTCCTCTTCATTATTATAAATAAATCTTTCTCTAGATCATTATGTCATCCTTAGAATTGTAAATCAATTAACTATTTAACAATATACAAACAACACTCATTAGCCATAAGTCTAACAGTCCTATTTTAAATTATAGACTGTCAGTCTGGTAATGTGCATAATCTGGCTAGAAGGGCATGTTTTTTTGTACATGTAGATCAATAAATCAGGCTAGTGGGTTCAAAAGGTTAAAATGACCACATTATAGATAAATAAAAAAATATGACAAGTCAACTTACTGGAATTATTTGACCACAAATGCCAACAGGTTCATGTCGAGTATAAGCAAAATATTTTCCATCTAAAAATAAAAATGATTTTTCAAAATTACGTATTAAAAAAAACAAGCCCAGAACATTTTTTAAGTGAAAAAAAACTAACTTTTTATGCTGTGGTGGCAATATGGGTATGAGTAATTGTGTGTATAATCAGCTGACACAGATAACAAATGCTTCAAGAAAGATGATTGAAAGATCTTTATTGCTCAAGAGAGGAATTTTAACAGACTAACTTTGTATTACACCCTATATAAAAAGCAAAGATGTCAAGATGATCCATGATCTAGCAATTCATGCTTCAGTCTGGTACAATGAGACCAGTGTAAATCAGTTGAATCCAGTGAGTCCAGGACAAGGTGGAGGGGCGAACAGAATTCAGTACAGCAGTAGAGTTATCTATGGTGAAGCATTTTAACAGTCAGTGTTACCAGTCATACAGTATTGGCTGTTGATTTATTAGACATTAAAGAGTTATGTTATTTGAAGCCTAAGTTATTAAGTTCTTTGAGTAGGTGGTGTCATTTAGTGCAGTGTTTGCTGAGAGCCTCGAAAGAGAGTCATTACATTATGAATAAATAATCTGTACTGAAATGAACAAGTAACCAAATGATTAGATTTTATTCTCTGATAAGCCAACAATTTGTTTAATGGTGTGGGACCACGCATGCTCTTCATGTCTTTGGTTATCATTAGATCTAGCTCACTTAAGCTGTTCTTCTTAGGCAATGATTTTTTCTACTCTTCTGGTGTTAAGTTCTTAAGCCTGACATTTGATGAGGTGCTTATTTTAAGATAAACAGTATTCTGTCAGCTTACTGCCTCAGCTCTATGAGCTAAGTGGGGATGTATTTGTATGGAGGCTATGAGACATTACACCATACAGACCAAGTTTCTAATGTCTTTTTCTCTGTAGCTTATTGCATAGCATTTCTATTCTAGTTTCTCTCTTTTCATCCAGCTTATGATGCTTTTAAATTTCTCACCTGTTTAGTTTGCACTAATGCTGCTGGTTGTGTCTTAAAATGTATTGACAATAAAAAAGTGTGAAGTTCAAATAATTAACATTCAGCATAGATGATAGTACTGGTATACAATAAAAAAAATAAAAAAATTTAAAATTAAATTATACCTCTAATAATCATTTGCTTTAATAAAATATTGGTTACAATTACCAAGCAATACATTTCATTTATTGTGTGTTGTAAGATCAATATTAAAGTTTATATTAAAAAATAGTAAATTTAAAAAAAATACTTAAAAGAACAACAACACAGCTATTATTAAGTGAAGATGTATTAATTAGTTTGGGTCAGTCATGTCATTAAATGTGTAATAGATCTAGACTCACAATAATAAGTCTGTGCGGTTAGAAATATTTTTACCAATTA